TCAGTTTCTGAAGGATTAGAAACTGGATCTTAAATAAAAATTAGATACTAGTCATTTCTCTCCCCCCCCCCCTTTAAAAGCTAGAATACTAATATTTTAGAGATGGCCATTCTAACTGTGAAGCTTGACTTAAATTGCCCCGCTGTGTAAAGCAATGCAGGTCTGCGTCTGCCTGGATGGGGGACATTTCAGATAACAGGGGAACGGGAGTTATGTAATGTTTTAAACACATGCCAGGAGAGGGTCCTTGAACTAGACCTGGAAACAAACTGACAATGCAGCTGTTTTACAGAGGGGCTTCTATGAATTCTAAAGGGAACCTCAACCGGTAATCTGGCTGCTGCATTTTGCAGCAGTTGAAGTTTCTGAGTCGACTTCAAGAGCAGCCCCACGTAGAGCACATTTCTATATTCCAGGCTCAAAGTTCCCAGAGTGTGCAGCACCAAGGCCAAGTCATCTTTGTCCAAAGGGGGCTGTTGCTGCTGAACCACCTAAAGCTGGAAATAGGCACTCCTCAACACTGAAGCCCTATGACTCTTCAATTGCACAGGAGCCCATTAAAAGTGGGCTGTAGCTGGAGAATGAAAATGCTCAAAGAGACACCTCAACTGCCCTTTGAAAGGGTCCCTTTTCCTTTTTATTGCCCGTAGAGTTAGGATGAGATACATCTCATAGCATCCCTTTCTGAAATATTGAATTTTATATGAGAGGGATTTTATTGAATAGCCAAAGGCTGCCAATGCAGTAAAATGCAATATTTCTTTGACATGATTCTCATTCCCATCCACTTGCTGATGCCGCAGTGGAACTGAATACTGCATTGCCATGGTTGCTGCGAGCTGCCTTTTCTTTATCCGTTCTGGCTGTTTGGCTGAAACCCTTGTGAGATAAGTTTTATGGCAGGACACGAGTCTACAATGCATGCCATCATTCCCACTGCTAACAAAACAGCAGCTAATGTACAGTTGCATACAATATCAGAATTTTCTTTAGCATCCTGGGTGGAATTCAACACCATACTATTACAATTGTTAGACCTGCACAAATGTTGCCATATGGAATGATCCCACCTACCTTAACCTAAACCCTTCATGGTGTTCTGAGGGTTCTCCTGACCCACCAAGAGCCAGTTTCAGGAGGATACTGGGGAGCACATGGGGAAGAGGTGGGGAGCCCTGTTGTTCAAGCAGAAATCCTTGTGCAGGGCTTCTACTGATTGGGTCCGTTCAGTGAATCCTGCCCTCTATGCTTGGTAAACTTATTGTGGTAGGGGGGCATTCCACCACCCCCAATCCATTCTGCTGTATTGTTCTGACGTTTCTTTGACTTTCTGTAGTTTGGCAAGTGATGGAGAAATGAATTGAAAAGTGTGGAAGACATGTAATACCCCAGAAGCAAATCAGGCTGAATGCAGGACAAATACTCACGGTCATATAACTGTCCCATAAATGAATCAGAATAATGCCCAATAAAAACTGAACACAGTCTAACTACTGTGTAAGCTTTCTACAAGAGAATCAAGATGAATGCTGAATACGCAGGCTGTCTGCAGGAGCCCTTATAACATTAGCACACCAGAGGACAGTGTAGAGCTTGTAATTTGCCAATAGCCCGAGTGTCAAGGACTTGGCAATTTGAGGACTTGCCCTGGAGTCACATGACATGGGCAGCTCCTTAGGCTTTTGGTTTCAGTTCTAATAGGGAGTCTTAAAGGCTTCTCTGAATCTAGCAGTTTCTATCAAACTGTTCCTCATTCTTGGTGCCCGTTCTTGACCTAGAAACATGACAGTATTTAGGAAGCTTAGGAGTCATTCAGAGTCCAGGGTCCAGCATCTTTGCACAAGGCCTCTGGGGATGAGACAAGAGAAATGGTGTCTAACCAGCAGAAATGAATTAGTATCTTGTAACCAATGGAGATGGAGGAATTTTATTTTGTCTTTGCTCCAGTGGGATAGGCAGAAGGCCTGTTTCATCCAAGAAATTGCATTAGCAGAGTTGTTCATGTGTCTTAGATCAACCTCACTCTCAGTGTAGGAAAGGGGAAATAATGTTACTTAATAAAGCAAAAAAAAAAAAAAAGTATTAAATTGCATTATGCTCCCTCATGAATTATAAGTAGGAGGAATGGGGAAAACTCAGACATTTCAGCCTGAGCATTCCAGGAGATTTATTTATGCCTTGAAGCTCTGCACCAGTTTCTCAGTGATGATTCCCAGGCTAAGGAAAGAGGAGAGGAGGGGCTGCTGCATGATTGAAAACAATAAGCAAGGCATGTTCTTTAAAGGCTAAAATGCTCAAGCAATGTGAATATTTCTTTCAGCTAAAAGAGCAACGTCTCAAAACTGGAATGAGTAGGAATGAAAAAGGTCGGTCTTTTGAGATGCCAGCATCTCCCCCCTCCCCCTGCACACCCAGAAGGCACCATTCATCTTATCACTACTAATCTCCAAAGTAAGGAGCAAAGTAAAGCATGCCAGCTGGTCCCACAGGTACACAACCATGTACTTGTCAAGTTCACATACCCAAGGTTTGTTCTGAGGCCACAGGTATCACCTGTAAACATGACTAGGAGTGGGAAGGGTCCTGGCTCCCCCACCCCAGCTTAGGGAACCTTCCTGCCCAGACCATATTTTTATTGAGCTATTTGTGGTTTTGGTTTGCGGATCCTCTAAAATGTTATATTGAATAAATATAACTCTTTCCCCACCACTGCACTGTCTTCCAAGTCTTCTTTTGGCTGTGTTGGCAATGCATACAAATACGTCTTAAGAGATCGTAACCAAATTTTGTGTGATGGTTTCTGAGATCAGGATCCTGTTTGTATACAACTGGAAGACTTAGTGTATACTGCATAAAGTATCTATCTTTTGTTTTGAATTTCCTTTTCCTAAAAGGTTCTGTTGCAGTGCTATGTTACAACATATAGGTATGTTTAGCTGTTTTGTTAGACTCTTCTTCAGGGCTGGATGATCCATGGTAAAAGGTAAAGGTAAGGTAAGGACGCGGGTGGCGCTGTGGTCTAAGCCACTGAGCCTCTTGGGCTTGCCGATCAGAAAATCAGTACTTCTAATCCCCACAATGGGGTGAGCTCCCGTTGCTCTGCCCCAGCTTCTTTCAACCTAGCAGTTTGAAAGCACACCAGTTCAAGTAGATAAATAGGTAAGGCTGTGGCAGAAAGGTAAATGGCATTTCTGTGCACTCTGGTTTCTGTCAGTGTTCTGTTGCACCATAAGCGGTTTAGTCATGCTGGCCACATGACCAGAAAAGCTGTCTGTGGACAAACGGCGGCTCCCTTGGCCTGAAGCGAGATGAGCGCCGCACTCCAGTGTTGCCTTTGACTGGACTTAACCATCCAGGGGTCCTTTCCCCTTTTTTAACCTAATCCATAGTCATTGCTGGATCACAATTCCCACCTTGGTCCCACTGGCCAGGGCTGGTGGAAGTTGTGGCCAAACAGGTTCCCCATCTCTACTGTAACCATTTTAACTGACTTTGTAAAATGATTATTGTTGCTTTGCTTTGTTGCTAATTTCAGTCAATCCTAGATCATTGTATCTGCTGTCTTTTCATGATATTGTGAGCCACCTGGGGTAATCTATGCCACCAAAGGCAGCATATTGTAGTAGTCTCATTGCTGAGCAACAATGTGCAGAGCTCAGTGGAGTGGGAGGCCAGCCAACCAGAAGTCTCTCTGAGGTGTACTTGCCTGGAGGCAGAGTCAGCATCCAAAATCAGGTCCAATCCTAGGGGTGGGCGAACAGCAATCCATGTTGTCAGAAAGTCCAGGGGTCAGGGAATTCAATGATTGGGGGGTCAAGAAGAGCAGGAAGCAGCAAGATGGAGCCAGGAACCACAAGCATTGTTACCAGCATCTGACTACTGCTCGAAGCTCTGCTTAAGAAGGCTAAAGCCAGCTGGTTCTCATCAGTGCCTTCTCCCCTGTGTCTTTGAAGGCTGATCAGCTGCAGGTGGAGTCACTTCCCCTTCTCCCCCTTCAGGCTACTATTCAGCAGGTGAAGCTGACTCCTGGCCCAGGAGTAAACAAACACACACACACAGTCTCTGATGAGACAGCAGGTGCCAATAGAGTTGTTAGATTTCAGCTGCAGAAGGGGGGGGGGGAGTGTGGGAGAAAGTGTTGCTTGTGTGCTTTGCAAAGGTTGGAAACCACAGTTGGAACCAAGTTAGAGATTCGAGAGTCCCTGATCTGATTCAAGAAGGCCCCTCTGACCTCACATTCTTACTTTGTCTCTGTCATGGTAAGCTAGAGAGCCTGTTTGTATCTATCAACCGCTGATGGAGGCGTCATCATTAAATATTCATCCTTGTTTGTTTCTCCAGAAACAATAGCCTTAAAGAAGATTGCTTTATCACTCAGATTTGAAGGAAAACAAGCTTAGGCTCATGTAGAAGGAATCTTGGAGCACCAGATGAAGCAATTCATCACTTTATTTATTAAAACTGCCATAATTACCATTCCAATAATCTGAACAAACACAAACCCCTGTGTTGCAAAATGTGACCATCTACAAAAATGCAAACGCAACACGCTGGCTAATAACTGTTAGTAAATATATAATCAGTATGATGTCATTCAAAATGTACAAATAAGCCACTTCAAAATAATATATATCATACAACACATCTCACAAAATATACAAATGACTGCAAGTTGTTATGTGTATCAGAGTCAACAAAGGTTCAAACAACCAATGAATAGCAAGGAACACCAAACCGTCTCTCCAAGGAAGACGTCTCCCACAAGTCTCAAAGGAAGACGTTTCTCTGAAGTCTCAAAAGGACAGTGCATCCGGAATAGTTCAACTATTTCAAAATAAAGTCTTTATCAGCGAATAATTAGCAATAAAATATACATACTAGTGAAGATCATACTAGTGGATCAGTGGTCACTGGAAATGTAGCTGCTGGTGGGTTCCTAAGAAATCTGGAATGCTAGCTGCATATGAATGTTCCATTTGTTTTTTGAGACCCAAGATAAAGGGCCATAGCTCAGTGGGAGAGCATCTGTCTTGCATGTAGAAGGTCCCAGGTTCTATCCCTGGCCTCTCCAGTGAGGAACATGCATGAGACCCTGGAGAGCTGCTTCCAGTCAGTGTAGAAAACACTGAGCTGGGACAAATGGTAACTTCCTAAGACGATGGGTCTTAAAACATATCCACAGTGGGGGTGCCCTCAGATTGTTGGTTTCTGCTTTCCTTCACTGTGCAGCTCTGCTTGTCACGAGACAGGTGTTTACATTCCACAGTCTGTACTGTTGGAGTTTCTCACGGGAAAGGGAGGCTGGATGTGACGTACACTGGTTTCCTGTTTTTCACTGTGTGATTCTCTCCGAGCTGTCGAGGAGAGAGGATGCATTTCTCTGCTCCGGCAGAGGCAAGATGTCTTTCTGTAATATACCAGCTTTGAACTGTAAATAAAGCAATATAGAGTATGTAGCACGTATTCCTCATCCTTCCGCTGGCCACGAGACTCTGCTTTAAATCAACACGTGGTTATGGGCTCCAGAAGTCGAATCGGAGTGCCGGCAAAGGATCGGAATGCAGAGGGACGGATCGGAAAGGAATCTGCTCTGCGCGTAGAAGTGATTGATGAGGTATGTGCTACTGCTCCGGGCAGCCTGCCAGCTTCAAGTTAATGGCTTTATGGCTGGACTTTGAACTTTTAAAGCCGGTTTTGCCGGGAATAGGCAAAAGGCTCCCAGGCACAAGTCACTATGCTGGGGAAATCGAAAGTAACTTTTAAGTGCGCCTTTGTAATAAGGCAGCTGCAGCAGTGACGCAGCAAGATTTAAAGCAGCATATGACGCTGAAGGCTAATGCCAGAGTCATGATGGCCCTTCAGGATGCTTGTGGGATTCCTAAGCTCAACAAGAAAAATTACAGCGACTGGGTTCAGTATGCAGAGGCAATTCTGCGGAAAGAGGGTTTGTTTGAGGTGATTACAGAAACCCCCCCAGTTCCAGTTACAGATGCATGGAAAGCTAAGGATTCCAAAGCAAGGGGAACTCTTACATTGATAGTATCCCCAGAAGAGCTCTGTCTATTGCGTGATAAGACCTCAGCCAGAGAAATTTGGGACGCTTTGAGAGAGGCTCACTTAAGGACAGAAGCTGGATCCACTATGTTTTACTTTAACAAGCTGCATAATATGGCTCTTGCTGAAGGTGGAGATGTGCGTTTACATCTGATGGAGATGCAAAATCTGAGACATGAGCTGCAACAGAGAGGACTCAACTTTCCAGAGGCTGTGTATTCTTTCATGATACTACAATCTTTGGGTTCAGGTTGGGAGTCTGTTGCAACCCAGATTGCTGTGCAACCAACTGCTCAGCTGACAGTGGACTTTGTTACTGCCGTGATTTTAAATGAAGCAGATCGCCGGGTGCTAGCTGCATGGGCAAGGGGGAGTCTTCACAGACGTCATCCCATAGTGCAGTGGAACCACCAGATGGCGCCAAAGCTTTGAAGGCAGTGAAATGCTACTCGTGTGGACGTCTAGGCCATATGAAGAGGGAATGCAGACATCCCAGGGCCAAGACAGAGCAGCGCAGCGAAAGCTCATCGCGCGGAAAAGGCCGAGGCAAAGGCAAAGGTCCGGTGTCTAGGACAACGCAGCACAAGGCTATGGTTTCACGCTTCACTCCAAAGGTTGCAGAGGTCCAGAAGACGTCTAGATCTTTCTTCGTTGTTGATTCAGCGGCCACCCACCACATGTGCAACGATAAGAGACTGTTTGTGTCTTTTACACCGCAGGAAGGTGCGATTCACCAGGCGGATGACCACACTATTCCCAGTAAAGGCTACGGAACTGTTGTTCTTCACAGTTTGGACTTATCGATACAGAATGTGCTTTACGTGCCAGACGCCAAACATAATCTGCTCAGCGTTGGACAGCTGAATGAGCGGAACATTGACGTTTCCTTCAAGAACAAGAAGTGCATCATCACAAAGAAAAATGATTATGTATTGCATGCAGAATATGTTGATCGTTTGTTTGTTTTGTATTATGATGATGTGGTGCAGGATGACACTTGTTGCATTGCAGGTTCTAACAAAAGTTTGCATGCAGAATGTATTCACGATTTTCATCGAAAATTTGGTCATTTGCATTTTGAGGCAGTATCTAAAATGCCTGCCTTGGTTGAAGGTATGACTATTAAACCCTGCAGGTACCACATGAAGTGCAAAGCATGCGCAGCAAACAAGGTGAAAATGGCTGCGAAAGGTAAGGTGTCTAGTAGGAAAGCTACAGAACCATACCAGGTTGTTCATGCTGATTTGGTTGGACCACTAGCGCCTCTTTGGGTGGAAATAGATACTTCATGGTTCTCATTGATGCATTTTCTAGATATATTTTTGTGTACAATCTCAAGCAGAAATCGGAGGCTTTTCCTAGGTTCAAGGAATTCTGTGCTTGGTTGGAAAATGTGCATGGTAAGAAGATAAAGACTCTTTTCAGTGATCGCGGGGGGGAATTCACGTCTCAGCAGTTTGAAGCTTTTCTGACTGAGAAAGGAATTCAACACGATTTGTCTAGTCCTCGCTCGCCATGGCAGAATGGACTTGCGGAACGGGCAAATCAGACATTGCTTCAAGGGTAAACCACCTAGCTGCATGATGCCAATCTTCCAGAGAGTTCTCGGGCCGAATCTCTCTCGTGTTTTGTTTACAGTTACAATCGCAGGTTATCTTCAGCGATTGGTTGTACCTCTATGAGAAGATGTTTGGCAAGAAGCCATACATCAAACACATGAAGATTTTTGGTTCTGACATGTGGGTTCGCTCACCACAAAACTCCAAGTTAGACAAGCGTGGATTGCATGGTATCTTTCTAGGTTATCAGAAAGGGTCTTACAGAATAATGATGACTGACTCTAAGACAATTAAGCTCACGAGAAGTGTTGAGTACAATGCAAAGTGGGGGAGAATGTGGGAATTTTCCAATGTTATCCTGATGACGGTGATGAGACTGAGGATAGTCAAAAGCAACCACAACAACCCACACCCACTGATGAAGGTTCTGAGTCTGAATCTGAAACTGAATCGGGTGATTCAGAGGATTTCGAGAGTGCGAAAGCCTCTATGCGACCCTCTGAAAGCTCTGATCAAGAATTGGAGGAACCATTGTTCACAATAGGTCGTTTTTCTCCTAAGAAGGAAGAGGAGAGTGTTGAAGACTTAAGGCTAATTCGTAGGTCACAGAGAGCTACAAAAGGCAAACCTCCAAAGAGATTTGCTGATGAGTTTGCTACGATAGCAGTAACAGCTGTTAAAAGCTCCAAGAAGGTATTTGAACCTTCAAGTTTCCAAGAAATCCAGGGTTTGGATTCAAAGGAAGCTGAGCCATGGTTAAATGCCATGAAGGCTGAGCTTGATTCCTTAGAAAGGAACAAAACATGGGAGCTAGTTCCAGTAGTTCCAGGAATGAAACTGCTTGGAGCAAATGGGTCTTCAAAGCGAAGACAGATCAAAATGGCAAGATAGTCAGACACAAAGCCAGATTGGTAGCCAGAGGTTTTGCACAGGTACCAGGTGAAGACTATCACGAGACCTATTCACCCACAGTGAGATATGAAAGCATTAGGCTTATGCTCAAGCTAGCTGCAGAGGAAAATCTACACATTAGTCACCATGATATTAATACAGCTTTTCTGTACGGATCTCTAGATGAATCACTTTATATGCTTCCACCTGATGGCGTACAGGTAAAACAGGGATTTGTTTGTGCTCTGAAGAAATCCCTTTATGGTCTCAAACAAAGTGCACGGTGTTGGCACACAAAACTCACTGAAGTATTGTTTTCTCTAGGTTTTCAGCAAGGGAAAGCTGATCCATGTGTATTTGTCAAAGAGGAGGGGCAAAAGAAACTGTACTGTTTGTTTTATGTTGATGATTTATTATTCTTTTGGAAAGATGTCGCAATGTACAATAACGCCCTAGCTCAACTGAAAGAGCACTTTGACATGAAAGATCTTGGTGAGGTAAACAACTACCTATCTCTGGAAATAGAGAGAGATCAAGATGGTAACATTCTAGTACACCAGTCACGGAAAATTGCTGATGTGTTAAGCAAACTAAATCTGATGGATGCTAACCCTGTAGACACACCGATGACAACAGGTTATCAGGTAGATGACACTGAAGAAGCATTTTCTGACACTACACTGTACAGGAGTGTGCTAGGCAAGCTAAACTTCATTGCCAGATGTTCAAGACCAGACATTGCTGTTAGCTGTAATTTGCTAAGCAGACAAGTCAACAATCCTAGTGTCAAGGATTGAAAGCTCTGAAACGCATAGCGCGGTATTTGAAAGGCACTATGCATTACAGACTGAGATTTAACAATCAGAAGTCTGGTGGTCTTGAGATATTTGCAGATGCAAGTTTTGGAAGTGACGCTACAGACAGGAAAAGTACGTCTGGAGTTTGCTACATGTACAATCAGAGTCTGTTTGATTGGTCATGCAAGAAGCAAACAACAGTTAGCTTAAGTACTTGTGAAGCCGAACTGAATGCACTGTCTTATTCACTTAAGGATTGTGAATGGTTAGTACAATTGTGCAAAGATATGAAAATTCCTGTCAAATGTCCAATCCAGGTTTACCAGGACAACAAAGCATGTTTGGCTTTGCTGAAGTCTGAAGGTTGTAAGCAAAGCACAAAGCACTTGCAATTAAAGTTGCAGCATGCTAGGGAATGTATTCAGAAGGGACTCGTAACGGTGTCCTATATGCCAGGTAATGAAATTCCTGCTGATGTATTGTCCAAGATTGTATCGAGGGATCAACACTGTACCTATGTGCAGAAGTTGGGTTTGTACTGATATTGTGCAAACACGCTGCCCAGTGATGTTCACAGAAAGGGGGAGGATGTTGGTTTCTGCTTTCCTTCACTGTGCAGCTCTGCTTGTCACGAGACAGGTGTTTACATTCCACAGTCTGTACTGTTGGAGTTTCTCACGGGAAAGGGAGACTGGATGTGACGTACACTGGTTTCCTGTTTTTCACTGTGTGATTCTCTCCGAGCTGTCGAGGAGAGAGGATGCATTTCTCTGCTCCGGCAGAGGCAAGATGTCTTTCTGTAATATACCAGCTTTGAACTGTAAATAAAGCAATATAGAGTATGCAGCACGTATTACTCATCCTTCCGCAACCCACTGTAAACACTTTCATCTTAACAGAGAAGTTCTAGGTGGCTCCTCATTCAACCATATGCAAGTCACTAACCAGCCTTCAGCTACCAAAGCAGAGAAATGCATGGTGCAGGCATTGTCTGAATGACATCTAACACTGAATGACATCCTGGAGGAGGAAAATTCTGTTTTTGAAATGCACCTTTGAAAGATGGTGGGAACAAAGAATGTCCACTGCATGGACAGATGTGTCCCCATGTGTGACATAATGGAATAATCCTAAAAGTTGTCCCTGAGACATCAATATTTGCACATGTGAGCAAACTGCTGTTAGCCACCATCTGTGGTCTCAGTCATTTTCATAGGGCCTTCTAGTCTAACCCCCTGCAATGCAGGAATCTTTTGCCCAATGTGGGGTGCAAACCCACGACCCTGAGATTAACAGTCTCATGCTGAGCTATCCCAGCAGTGTGGCTGGGCTAGATCCTGTATGAGGAAGACGAAATACATAATTGACCCATAATCTATAAAGCTGATGAAAGGAGAGAAAACTCCCTACATAATTGGTTTATAAATCATTCCAGAAGTGAGTAATGATACAAGGACAAGCCATTTATTTTAAGTATTTGATAGTTTATTCACAGGAAACACACCAGTTTAAGCTATATATAAACTCTTCTGCTGGCCTTTACCATTGCTAGGTGACAACTGGAGGCAGTTGATTTATTCTTCCCCTTCCCCTTCATAAAGCACTGAAGAAAAAGGTAACTTTGGGAGGGGGAAAAACCTACATCCAATTAATATGCTGGGTGAAACCCTTCCTCCACTGAAATCCATGGCAAAAGTCCCAGGGCATGTTTGCACGATCATTTATCCTGAGATAACAACCCGTTAACTTGCTTTATCCCTAGGAATTGTTTACATGATCAAAGCATAAATCCAAGGTTAAACAAGTTTAGAGTAAAGCAAAAGGACTGCCGTGATAATCAGAGGGTTGCTTCCTTGAATGCCTTGCAAGGTTAAACAGGGAGAAGTGTGCAGTGTTTAATTAAAGCGATAGCCAACATGTGCGACATATTTGCATTTCCCAGCATGGCTCTCATTGTTGTAATTGCCTGAATTGATAGGGGGCAGATCTGTGATAGCTGAGAATGGCATTCAAGTTGTCAACTGATTACCTTTCCGCACTTCTCATAGGAATAATGACAGGCGTGTTGGCGTGTTCAGACCCAGAGACCTCTCCCCTAAATAAACGCACATTTGTCTCAGATTTTAGTTTTGGTTTTTGGCAGAATTTAGGCCACAACTTTATTGATTACAGAAAAGTGAGTGGTTGCGTGGCTCTGGTTTGACTAGCTCCCTGCACCCTTGCAGGTAGCGCTGACCCAGGGCACCAGCATAGGTCAGCCAAGGGTGAACACCTGAGGTAGGTGAAAAGCCCAGGAACAGACTCTGTTCACTCCCCAGATGCTTCCCTGGACTCAGGCATGGGCACAACCCCCTCTCGGGGGTTGACCAAACCAAGCTGAGTCCCTGGATTCCTTTAACGGAATACCCTTCACATAGGGATGTCGAGACTGCTCTCCCATCCCTATCACCTGAACCAGTGCCTATCCACAACCTTACAAGTTGTGACGATTTGCTACGCGGCAGAAGAAACCCAAATGGCAACAGCCAATCAGCCAAGTGGGGAAATTCCTGCTGTGCCCCTGTCCCAATGACAGGTGACACATGGCGGCATAGCAAGGTCAATCGCAAAATGCCCTAAAAGTAGGGAGAGGTGGGTAGGTGTTCCGATGCACGAGCTGAAAGAGGAAGCTCTGGGTCACATGCATAGGTATATATAGGTTCCTTAATCCGTTTAGACTACACCCCATTGGCCAGATTAAACCCAGCAATGAGGGACCTTCCAATCGGGTGTTGTGGCTGTCCAATATACCCACCCACAACCAGGAGGTCAGTCTCCAGGTCTCACCGCAACATGTTTCCTCTTTTAGGGAGGACACAATTTGTGAGCACATCTGGATCAGTCACTGTGAATGTGGTGATCTGAGGTGTGGTTCTGGAGGGGGGGGACCCCAGGTTCATATTCAGTCTCAGGGCTGAATTAGACCGTATTTTTAACCTTTGTTGACACAGATGGAGATGAGCCAGATTGGGACTGTGGATAAAGGAAGGAGGCCTTCAACTGTTTTTTCCTAAATCATTTCTGATCATAAGTGCCAGGACCTGTGATTAACACTGGGAAGAAAACTCCTTTTGGCACCAATGGTATCATTCCTCCCTTTGTGAACAGCAAGTGTAGGTGGTTGAGTCTATATACTTCTTTAATTTTCAAGACTATCTTCAAAGGCAGCCCTAGATAGAGCACATTATAGTAGCCTAGTCTGCCTGTAACTCATGCATGCATAACTGAGGCTGGGACCACTTTCTCTAGACAAGGTTGCAACTGGAATACCAAATTAAGCTGGTAAAAGGAACTTCAAGCTGCCATCACCTCAGCTGCATTCCCATAGATAATAACAAGTCCAGGAGATCCTCCCCCAAGCTGTGAATTTGGTCCTTTAGAGGAGTTCTAGTTGCCAGTCAGCTTCAAAATTAGTGTCTACAAGCAGTTCCTCCACCTTATCTGGCATAAACTTGCTCATCCTCATCCCTCTCAAAAGTGATTCCAGATACCAGTTACAATGTAACCATAGGTATACAGTCAGCCTGGATGGCTCAGTTGGTTAAAATGTGGCACTCATAATGCCAAGGTTGCAGGTTTGATCCCCATTGCAGAGGGTTGGACTGGTTGATTCTCAGAGTCCCTTATAACTGTGCAATTCTATGTTTAGTCAGAAGCAGGCTAAGGTTACCAGATTTTTCCCCAATGAATCTGGGGACACTTTTCAACTTCAATGGATTTTGTATGGGGACTGATTTGTAAATCCGGGGACTGTCCTTGGGAAATGGGGACATATGGTAACCTTAAAATAGGCTCCAGTGGCATTTACTTCAAAGTAAATGTGCCTAGGCTAGGATTTCAGCCTAAAGAACATAAAAACAAACCTAATGTGGGCAGGATTTTCTAAAGCATGAGTGCTTTTGAACTTCGCTTGGGTATAAGCTATGAGGGGTCTCATATAGAGTATTACTGCCTCTGAACTTATTAATACTCGTTACAATCTATGCACCCCAATCTCACAAAAGAGAACCATGTATTGAAGCAGGTTTATGAATATGCAACAGATGCCGAAGCACTCATTAAGACAGCCCAACAATAGTCTGAGGGCTCAAAATACAATTAAAGCTAAGCTGATCAATGTCTGAATGGAAGACTGCCTGGGAGGTTCCATGTAAAGCCTCCCTAAGCTTCCATAACAGAATATACACATCAGAAGTAATAAACAGATTTATCCTGCATGCAAAAAACAAAACCGTCAGTTTCCCACACCTCAAAGCCATACCCTACAAAGACCTCTCTGTGCATCTTTCCAAGTTGAAACAACATTATTAAAGCCTAATTTACTGGAGTGAATCTACCATGGCAATTTAGATAACACAGAAGGTGGAATTTAGAATGCATTCTCAGTAGCAGATTTCTTAATAACTCTTCAGAAACAAAGTTCCAATTAAATCCAAGAAGCGAGTCTGCAATAACAAACATAAACAAGGGAGGGAAAACACAGAAGCAACCATTTGCTGATGAGACAGAGTTTTATCTAAATAGAATGTTGTTCAAAGGGTTCCCCCTCCCCACCTCCCTGCTTTCTCCCTCAGGCAGCAGCTGCTTTTAAGAATGTCTGTAAATGAAGACAAGGAGATTCTCTTAGCAGCAGCAACACGTGGAGAATTCTATAGAAATATGGCCTCAAGGCCGTTGATTTAAGTGATGAGGCATGGTGTGAAGCTCGCCCTGGCAGTTCATGAGTGCTATGCAGAAGACAGTCCTGGACAGAGGATGCCAGCCTCATGCACATTTACTTGGGAGTCAGTCCCATTCAAATGAGTGTGATTTACCCTGGGGTTAAAAAAAAAGGTTTTTATTAGCTATGAGTGGCAGGACTCTTCAGTACCAAGAGAACATCTGACCATCATGCAATATTCCTCATGAGCATTTGTAATAGTGGGTATTGTAAAACATAAAATATAATATTCTTAGAATATACTAGGATATATTCAGCAAACATGTTGCATTGGTGCAAGGACTGCCACCTGTGCAATGGGGCATGGCCTCCTCTCCCCATTCACCACCCCCACCTCAGTCATTTCTGGGTTTATCCCCAACCCCCTGGAGCATATTTGAGGGAAACAGGGAGTGTGGGAAGGAGGGAGGGAGGGAGGGAAGGAGGGAAGTCTGTGTGCTAAGATGATTTCATTTCATGAAACACAGGGTCGTTGTCCTATTGAAGCTTGAATCTATCCATGAACAAGGTCTCTGAGCCTTGCTTTGAAACTCCTCCCACCATTCACTAAAGTGCTTGCTTTCACTCAGATCTCTCCCATCCACTCCCAACTCCCTGAAGTCATTGTCTATTTGTAGGGCTGCCAGGTTGAAGTTGGGTTTAAAAATATTGAACTGTAGGAAGGGAGAGCAGAGACCCTGAAATTGCCCACTGGCATTCAAAACCTGATAGCAGACTGAGCAGGCAGTCCCTACCATTAGGGACACTGTCTTTCTATTTAATTGCTAGTTATTTATAAATTTGCAGCTATACGTTGTAAATTAGCACATGCAAATTTATGTTAAACGGCATCATCATTTGTCCTCCTTTTTGCTGATGCTACCCTAGTATGTAGGTGCATAGTCCTTGTATAGAAGGTTAGGACACATGGCGGTCAGAGGTGGAGTCGGTAAGTATTCTAATGACTCCCTCGTCATTCTTCTCACATAATGTGTCATTCACACAGGGCTCTTGAATGTCAGTGGTGCCCGAAACAGGGATAAACGGAAAAAGCAGCCAAACCTTCATAGAACTATAGGAAGCTACCTCATCAGATAATTGGCTTATCTAGCTCAACCTTCACCAGCAGCAGCTTTCCAAAGTTTCTAATGGGACATTTCCAGCGCTACCTGAATATTTCAGGGATGGTCCCTGGGACCTTGTACATGTGAAACACATGCTCTTCTACTGAGCTATGATCCTTCTCCGTTAAATGCTAGGCCTCAAATGATAACCACCTACTGTCTGCTTTGCTTTTTCTTTTCTGTGGAAAACAGGGAGTCCTTTCAGCCTTATTTCTGTATTTGTCTCTTACAGAGCTCACGGGTCTAATTAAACCCCAGAAGTCCACCCTCATCCATTTTCTTTTATTATCACAGAAGCACTACAATTATTCTTAAGAAGAAGAAAAAGGCTTTTGGCTTGGACCGCATTATCTTGCTATTCTACATTATCATGCCACCCCTGGTAGAAGTAATGCCCTAAATTCCTTATCCACTGATTCTCTTTGTCTTTTTCTCCTTTACTTTACTGTAGATTTTATCAGAAACTAAAGAAGGGGAATTGGCTTGTCCACTGCAAAAGTAAAGACCAGACTCCTACAGAATGTTGCTTCCTCTGTTGCCTTCCCCCACAAATTGCCTAAGAACTCAGTGATACAAACTTTGAAACATGAACCCCAAAAGGAACAAACTTTGTTGATGAGAGTCAAACACGGCTGTCAGGGAACTGCCATCAGTGCCGGAGGGAGAGAGCAAAAGCCAGAGGGATTCCAGAGATCGTCCAGGGATTGGGAGAAGCAGCCCATCTTCTGGGGAAGAGAATCAGCGTAGCACCAGTGGAGAAGGGGGGCAGATGGGGGGAAGCGGCGAGGCGGTCCCATGACTCCTTGCCTGGGACCAGCGGGGAGAGTAGGGGTCCTCCATTGCCCACGCCCTCCTTGCGCAGAAGGCTTTCGCGCAGAGAGAGTAGGAGGAGACTAGGCGTCAAAGAGCTTCTTTGCTGGAAGAAGTTTAAGAAACGCCCACTGACGGATTCTGCCAGCGATTGAGTCAGCCACGGGTGAGTGGCTGTCCGGACAGAAAAGGTTCACTTAGGCAACCCAGCCAGGTGTTTGCACCCAGCTGGGGAGATAAGCACCGGCTTACGCATGAGCAACCCCTAGAACCATTACAACGGCCAAGTTTTATCAACCACATTCAGGGCTGGATTTAGGTTTGATGAAGCCCTAAGCTACTGAAGGTAATGAGGCCCTTTATATGTCTAGTTGTCCTTTGTCAACAACAAATTGTCACTGTTTATTGTGATAATTTGAATATATGCTACATGGTAATTTATGGACACAATAGGTATCTAAAGCTATTTGCACATGCAGAATGTAGGCACCCTATATATAGAAATGAGCAAACCAGTGATATTTTTAGGGAGCAGGCTAGCAGGCAGGGCCCATTACTTACATCATAGGAGCCTACACAACACAAAACACTGTTGCTGTATGTAGGTTTTATTTTTTTGTTTTTTATCTTATATTTTGGAAATGTACATCCAGGTTTTTTTCCCTTTACATTTTTTGGGGTCCCCCAAGAGAGTGGGGCCCTAAGCTATAGCTTGTTTAGCTTATATGTGAATCCAGCACTGACCGTATTATTCAACAACAAAAATCAATGGTCTTACCGTTGTCTTATGACTTTTCTGACAAATCGGACTTTGGCTATCTGACAGTCCCGTTGTAAATGCATTGAATGCATGAAATCAATGGTGTTTTACTACCAAATTTTGTGTTCTGTTAAGTAATTGGTACTTGGTCCTACAATTGCATGAAGTTAGTTAATTCTCATTTGGGACCATTGACAAGCTCCAGGGATTCTCTTGGTTGCTCTACAGCTGTGCAGCAGCATTCAAAATAGGTGCCCAAGGAAAAGAAGTACCCTAAATGTTTAGACCTCCTGGCAAGGGGCACCAGACAGAGAAGGTGTAGCAGCGCCCAGATCACTTGCAAACTAATATATACACACACATTTTACGAAACACTTTCTTTCTACCTTTACAACATTTAGTGGTGTGGTTTTTTTTAGTTTTCAGAAAGGGCAAGTCAGGGTGGGTGGGACATAAGAGAGGTGTATGAGATAATGCACAGTGTGGAGAAAGTGGATAGGAAATAGTTTTTCTCCTGTTCTCTTAATTTAAGAACTCGGGGTTATCCAATGAAGCTGAATGTTGGAAGATTCAGGGCATACAAAGAAAACTATTTCATGGTATTTAACTCCGAGTAGGCTTGCTATGATGTATAAGACTGAATCAGATAAGTGCTGGAGATGCAGAAAGGTTGAGGGAACATTCTTTCATATGTGGTGGACCTGTAAAAGGGTAAAAGAGTATTGGGAAATGATCCATAATGAATTGGGGAAAAAATGCTTAAAAGTACTTTCCTCAAAAAACCAGAGTCCTTTCTGTTGGAGATAATTCAGACTGAAATTCCCAGGTGTCAAAAAAGGTTATGTATGTATACCACTACTGCAGCCCATGTTTTGTTAGCCCAAAAATGGAAAACAAGCAAGGTCCCAACCAAAGAAGAGTGACAACTTAAGTTGACAGAATATGCACAGCTTTCAGACTTAACATATAGAATAAGAGAACAAGAAGAACATATGTCTAGAGAAGATTGGAAAACCTTTATTGGCTATATGGAAAATAACTGTGTACAGCTGAAAACACTGGCAGCATTAAGATAAATTCAACAGTGTAAATAAGTTTTGATGGATGTAATAATGTAATAATGGAATACTGAATGGTATAGTTTGTGTAAAATATGCAGTGATTTATGATATGTAAAATGAACCATGGGAAGAGAAGAAGGGAAGT